CAGGGCACTTCTACCCCCTTCCTGCCTACCGGCACTTCTCACCCCCTTCCTGCCTACCAGGCACTTCTACCCCCTTCCTGCCTACAGGCACTTCTAACCCCCTTCCTGCCTACTGGCACACACTTCACTTCTACCCCCTTCCTCCTAAAGGGCACTTCTACGTCAATAACCCCCTTCCCTGCCTACAGGGCACTTCTTTTCTACCCCCTTCCTGCCTACCGGGCACTTCTCAACCCTTTTCCTGCCTACTGGGCACTTCTACCCCCTTCCTGCCTATCTGGGCACTGTCACCCCCTTCCTGCCTACCGGGCACTTCTACCCCCTTCCTGCCTACCGGGCACTTCTACCCTCTTCCTACCTACAGGACACTTCTACTAACCCCCTTCCTGACTACTGGGTACTTCTACCCCCTTCCTGCCTACCGGGCACTTCTACCTCCTTCCTGCCTACCGGTACACTTCTACCCCCTTCCTGCCTACGGGGCACTTCCACCCCCTTCCTGCCTACCGGGCACTTCTACCCTCTTCCTGCCCACCGGACACTTCTACCCCCTTCCTGCCTACTGGGCACTGTCACCCCCTTCCTGCCTACCGAGCACTTCTACCCCCTTCCTGCCTACCGGGCACTTCTTCTACCCCCTCTTCCTGCCTACAGGACACTTCTACCCCCTTCCTGCCTACCGGGCACTTCTACCCCCTTCTTGCCCACCCGGACACTTCTACCCCCTTCCTGCCCACCGGGCACTTCTCTACCCCCTTCCTGCCCACCGGACACTTCTACCCCCTTCCTGCCTACCGGGCACTTCTACCCCCTTCCTGCCTACGGGCACTTCTACCATTTTCCTGCCTACAGGAAACTTCTACCCCCTTCCTGCCCACCAGGCACTGTCACCCCCCCCTTCCTGCCTACCAGGCGCTTCTATCCCTTCCTGCCTACCGGGCACTGTCACCCCCTTCCTGCCTACTGGGCACTGTCACCCCCTTCCTGCCTACAGGGCACTTCTAACACCTTCATGCCTACAGGGCGCTTCTACCCCCTTCCTGCCTACCGGGCACTTCCTACCCCCTTCCTGCCTACCGGGCGCTTCAACCCCCCTTCCTGCCTATCGGGCACTTCTACCCCCTTCCTGCCTACCGGGCACTTCTACCCCCTTCCTGCCTACAGGGCACTTCTACCCCCTTCCTGCCTACCGGGCACTTCTACCCTCTTCCTGCCCACCGGACACTTCTACCCCCTTCCTGCCTACTGGGCACTGTCCACCCCCTTCCTGCCTACCGGGCACTTCTACCCTTTTCCTGCCTACAGGAAACTTCTACCCCCTTCCTGCCCATCAGGCACTGTCACCCCCTTCCTGTCTACTGGGCACTGTCACCCCCTTCCTGCCTACCAGGCGCTTCTATCCCCTTCCTGCCTACCGGGCACTGTCACCCCCTTCCTGCCTACTGGGCACTATCACCCCCTTCCTGCCTACAGGGCACTTCTAACACCTTCATGCCTACAGGGCGCTTCTACCCCCCCTTCCTGCCTACCGGGCGCTTCAAACCCCCTTCCTGCCTATCGGGCACTTCTACTACCCCCTTCCTGCCTACCGGGCACTTCTACCCCTTTCCTGCCTACAGGGCACTTCTACCCCCTTCCTGCCTACTGGGCACTTCTACCCCCTTCCTGCCTATCGGGCACGGTCACCCCCTTCCTGCCTACCGGGCACTTCTACCCCTTTCCTGCATAAAGGGCACTTCTACCCCCTTCCTGCCTAGCGGACGCTTCTACCTCCTTCCTGCCTACCGGGCGCTTCTACCCCCTTCCTGCCTACCGGGCACTTCTACCCCCTTCCTGCCTACCGCCGCTTCTACCCCCTTCCTGCCTACAGGGCACTTCTTCCCCCTTCCTGCCTGCTGGGCACATCTACCCCCTTCCTGCCTAATGGGCACTTCTACCCCCTTCCTGCCTACCGGGCACTGTTACCCCCTTCCTGCCTACCGGGCACTTCTACCCCCTTCTTGCCCACCGGACACTTCTACCCCCTTCCTGCCCACCGGGCACTGTCACCCCCTTCCTGCCTACCGTGCACTGTCACCCCCTTCCTGCCTACAGGGCACTTCTACCCCCTTCCTGCCTACCGGGCACTTCTACCCCCTTCCTGCCTAATGGGCACTTCTACCCCCTTCCTGCCTACCGGGCACAGTTACCCCCTTCCTGCCTACCGGGCACTTCTACCCCCTTCTTGCCCACCGGACACTTCTACCCCCCTTCCTGCCCACCGGGTACTGTCACCCCTTTCCTGCCTACCAGGCTCTTCTACCCCCTTCCTGCCTACAGGGCACTTCTACCCCCTTCCTGCCTACCGGGCTCTTCTACCCCCTTCCTGCCTACCGGGCACTTCTACCCCCTTCCTGCCTACAGGGCGCTTCTACCTCCTTCCTGCCTATTGGGCACTTCTACCCCCTTTTTGCCTACCTGGTACTGTCACCACTTCCTACCTACCGGGCACTTCTACCCCCTTCCTGCCTACAGGGCACTTCTACCCCCTTCCTGCCTACCGGGCACTGTCATCCCCTTCCTGCCTACAGGGCACTTCTACCCCCTTTCCTGCCTACCGGGCACTTCTACCCCCTTCCTGCCTACAGGGCACTTCTACACCCTTCCTGCCCACCAGGCACTGTCACCCCCTTCCTGCCTATTGGGCACTTCTCTCTCCCCCCTTCCTGCCTACTGGGCACTTCTACCCCCTTCGTGCCCAGGCCAATTTGCAGCTTTCAGCGCTGTCGCACTTTGAGTGACAATTGTACAGTCATGCAACACTGTACTCAGATGACATTTTTATCATTTTTTTTCTCACAAATAGAGCTTGCTTTTGGTAGTATGTACTCCCCGATGAGGGTTTTACTTTTTATGCTATAAACAAAAAAAGAGGAAAAATTTAAATAATAAAAAAAAAAAATGTCTTTGTTTCTATTATAAAATTTTGCAAACAGGTAATTTTTCTCCTTCACTGATGTGCGTTGATGAGGTTGCACTGATAGGCAGCACTGACGGGCACTGATAGGCGGCACTGATGAGGTGGCACTGATGAGCTAGCACTGATAGGCAGCACTGATGGTCACTAAAAGGGCAGCACTGATGTGCACTGATAGGCGGCGGCACTGATGACCTAGCACTGATATGCAACGATGGGTACTGATAGGGGGCACTGATAGGCAGCACTGACGGGCACTGATAGGGGGCACTGATGATCTAACACTGATAGGCAGCACTGATGATCTAACACTGATAGGCAGCACTGACGGGCACTGATGATCTAGCACTGATATGCAACAATGATGGGCACTGATAGGCGGCACTGCTGGGCACTAATTGGTGGCACCACTGATGGGTGACACTGCTGGGCATAGATGGGCGGCACAGATGGGCACTAACCGGCGGCACCAATGATGGGCGGCACTGCTGGGCACTAACTGGTGGCACCACTGATGGGTGGCACTGCTGGGCACAGATGGGCGGCACTGCTGGGCACTGATCACCAGTGCCCCTGATGATCGGTGCCGATCCCTCCTCTGACAATTGCCGGTTCTCAGCTGTACTTTCCTCACACTGTGACAGGGTGAGGGAACTGCAGCCGATAACCAGCAATTGCATTTACCCAGTGATCTACTCTGTCATTGGACACAAGGCTGATTACGTGGTAAAAGGCCGCTGTGATTGGCCTTTTACCACGTCACGTGATCAGCTGTGTCCGTAGGACACATCGATCACGGAGATAGCTGGGTGTGCACCCCCGGGGGGCGCGTTCTGGGAGGACGTTATATGATGCCCTCCGAGGACTGGCCGGCTGCAGTGAAGCCGTCATACGGCTATCTGCAGTCAGCAAGGGGTTAATGGCTTCAGTGTCATGTCAGGGATACTAGAGGCATCCAGCAAGGGTGGCCCGATCAGTAGGCTGTCCCTCAGGAAATCAGGAAGCAGGCCGACTACGATGAAATAAACTTTATTGACATGAATATCACGCTTACAAACCAACACCAATACACCAGAACAACGTAAAGTAACAAAATGAACATGGAAGTGCAGCAAACCAAATGTAGTATCCCTCAAGTGTAGCTAGGGGAGCTAGATCCTAATGGGTAGTCAGGAACCAGTTAGCAGTTCGGGTGTAATAGCCAGAGGGATCAAAATTGTGGTCAGGGCTGAGAGACTCTGCAGGCCAACCCCTCTGGAATTTCCCCCTGCTCTGAAGCTCTTGGAGGAGGGCTTCGGAGGCAGTGGGTGGATCTGAGGCGTGGTTGGCTGCACTCTTGAGGGACCTTAGCAATCCCCAACAGAATGCTTGGCAAGGGGCTGGGATGACCTTACAAGTGGGGGAGCCTGCTCAGTGGAAAGGAGTTGGAGGGAGGCTGGAGGAAAGCGGCCTAGTGGGACGGGGCCTGACTGCGAGCCTGGAGCTAGAAAGGAGGAAAACTCAGAACTCTTTGGCCCCATGAGCGAGTGGACCACCTACATGGCAGGGAAGGAGCAGCCCAGCTGATAGGCCTGGTAGCAGCCAACCACAAGTGGTACAGGAGAGGATCTGCGTGAGTACACCTCCACACCCCGGGCAGATTAGGGGAAGCAGCACTCTGGTAGGATAACATATTAGCACCCTACTAGTGACTGTTCACCTATTTAAAGGAGCAGACCTCTTAGTGTTTGTGAAATCTCCCACCACAGAATGTCCTCAGCCAATGACAGGTGAGGACGCCATTTTTATTCTTCTCCTGCTAGCAGTGGCCAACCCACACTTCATCACACAATCTTTGGTGACCTCTGACCTCCTTATCAACTGTTTCTCTTCCATGATGAAGATCAGCCATGGAGTATATCTGAGGTGTATATCAGGGTGTGCTTCTTTCCCACGAGAGCTGGGATGTCCAGCAACATTCATCTAGAAGACATTTCCCGCACTCAAGGCACTAATACACCTCCAGGGTTTGGTGGGACCCTTGATGTTACAGGAAGACGAGACTTCAGTGAGGAACATTTCCCTCACTCAGGACAGGAACATGGCCTACTCCCCCATGTGAGATCTCTGATGTTTGTAAAGACGGGGTTTGTCTGAAAAACATTTTCCCGCACTCAGGACAGGAATACGGCTTCTCCCCCGTGTGAGATCTCTGATGGCTGTAAAGATGGGACTTCTGTGAAAAACATTTCCCACACTCAGGACAGGAATACGGCTTCTCCCCCCGTGTGAGATCTCTGATGTGTGAAAAGATTGGCCTTCTGTGAAAAAACATTTCCCGCACTCAGGGCAGGGAATACGGCTTCACCCCCGTGTGAGATCTCTGATGTTGGGAAAGATTGGACTTATCTGAAAAACATTTCCCGCACTCAGGACAGGAATACGGCTTCTCACCTTTGTGCAGTCTCTGATGCGTATAAAGGTGATTTTTTCACTGAAAACATTTCCGCACTCGAAACAAGAATACAGTTTCTCACCCGTGTGCAGTTTTTGATGTGTATCAAGACAGGACTTTATTGAAAAACATTTCCCCACACTCAGGACAGGAATACAGCTTTTCCACCGTGTGTGCAATCTCTGATGTCTGTGGAAAGATGGGACTTCAGTGAAAAACATTTCCCGCACTCAAGACAGGAGTGCGGCTTCTCCCCTGTGTGAGGATCTCCGATGTGTGGAAAGGTAGGACTTATCTGAAAAAACATTTCCCGCACTCAGGACAGGGAATACGGCTTCCCCCCGTGTGAGATCTCTGATGTCTGGAAAGAAGGTACTTCACTGAAAAACATTTCCCGCACTCAGGACAGGAATAGGATTCTCACCTGTGTTGCAGTCTGTGATGGTCTGTAGAGATTGCCCTGTCCCTGTAAAAAACATTTCCCGCACTCAGGACAGGAATACGGATTCTCACCTGTGTGGCAGTCTCTGATGTCTGTAGAGATTGCCCTTCCGTGAAAAACATTTCCCGCACTCAGGACAGGAATGAGGCTTCTCACCTGTGTGGGTTACATGATGTTTGACAATGCTGTGATTTTTTAACAAAACATTTCCACACTCAGTGCAGGAATGTGGCTTTTCCCCCGTGTGAGATCTGAAATGTATAATAAGATCAGATTGAAAATGAAAACATTTCCCGCACTCAGGGCAGGAATACGGCTTCTCACCTGTGTGCAGTCTCTGATGTCTGTAGAGATTGCACTTCCGTGAAAAACATTTCCCGCACTCAGGGCAGGAATGTGGCTTTTCCTCAGTGTGCAATCTCTGATGGCTGTGTCTAGAGACTGGACTTCCGTGAAAAAACATTTCCCGCACTCAGGACAGGAATGTGGCTTCTCACCCGTGTGTCTTCTTATATGCTCATTAAGACTAGATTTAAAGCGGAAAACATTTCCCGCACTCAGTACAGGAATATGGCTTCTCCCCCGTGTGCAATCTCTGATGGCTTGTAGAGACTGGAAGTCCGTGAAAAACATTTTCCCGCACTCAGTACAGGGAAACCTCTTGCCTGTTGGAAGGCCGGCCCGGTCTCCGCACAGTCTGAGGTTCCCCAGGATACGAGGAATCCAATGGTCCATCTACACTGGGTGGTGCCGGATGGACATTGGAGGGAGCCGGGTTTTCTCCTGGACTATACTGTGTGATGTCCTCATCTTCTACTTTCCAGTCTGGAGACAAAGAGAAGAAACAATCCTCGGAGGTTTTCCTCATCTCCCGGCCATGGACTAAAAATACAAAGACAAAGAGGATTACTAGACTGGAGCCCCACCAGAGGTCAGAGAGAGTGAGGATGGATGGGGGGAGGACAACCAAGAGGAAGATGGACTCATCCTTAAGACACAACCATCATTGGGGTATTGGCTCCTCCCCCATCCTGAAGACCACCATCATTAGGGTATTGATTCCTCCCCCATCCTGAAGACCACCATCATTGGGGTTATTGGTTCCTCTCCCATCCTGAAGACCACCATCATTGGGGGTATTGGCTCCTCCCCCCATCCTGAAGACCACCATCATTGGGGTTTGGCTCCTCCCCCCATCCCGAAGACCACCGTCATTGGGGTATTGGCTCCTCCCACCATCCTGAAGACCACAATCATTGTGGTGTTGGCTCCTCCCCCATCTTGAAGACCACTATCATTGGGGTATTGGCTCCTCCCAAATCCTGAAGACCACCATCATTGGGGAATTGGCTCCTCCCCCATCATCCTGAAGACCACCATCATTGGGGTATTGGCTCCTCCCTCATTATCACTTTCTGGTTTGGAGGATGTGATCACATTATTATCGCCATGTAACAGTCTGTGCTCCAATCACATCATCCAATATAAAATGTCCAGCTGGTAGGAAATGGGGGGAACAGAGGAGAAGACATATTATGTGTAAATATAGGAGTGGGGGGAGGGGGGAGAGCAGAAGTCAGGAGTATGGAATGTACAACATGGAGTATATAGTGCAGGGGTCAGGAGTATGTAATGTACAACATATAGTATATAGTGCAGGGGGTCAGGAGTATGCAATGTACAACAAAGAGTATATAGTGCAGGGGTCAGGAGTATGTAATGTACAACACGGAGTATATAGTGCAGGGGTCAGGAGTATGTAATGTACAAACATGGAGTATATAGTGCAGGGGTCAGGAGTATGTAATGTACAAACATGGAGTGTATAGTGCAGGGTCAGGAGTATGTAATGTACAATGCACAGTATATAGTGCAGGGGTCAGGTATGTATGTACAAATGTACAACAGGGAGTATATAGTGCAGGGGTCAGGAGTATGTAATTGCCTGGTTGTTAGGGATGTGGTACATCTCATTTAGATAGCACTCCATTGAATCCATTGTTTCTATGTGTTTATCAGATGATGGGGGATCTAGGTGGATCCTCCGTACTGCTCTCTCCTTTCCAATAAAGTCTCCTCTTACCAGTGATGTGAGGGGCGGCTGATTGTCATCATGACGTCCTTGTAGAGGTCCTTGTGTCCTTCTAAATACTCCCACTCCTCCATGGAGAAATAGACAGTGACACACCCTGACACCTTATAGGAACCTGACACACACAATGATACAGTCACCATCCAGACACATCCCTTGTCTGTTACTGGAGAATGTCCCAGAATTCCCGGCACCCGCTCACCTCTCCTGTCAGCAGCTCTATTATCTTCTGGGTGGACTTCTAGAACCTTCTGTCTTGTAGGGATCAGGGATGGAGGTGGGGGGATGGTGATGGGATTCTGGATTCTCGACGATCTTGTGGTCATACGATGAGATCTCCTTCTGGTCTCATTGTCAGTAGATTTCTTCATGACTCCTGTACAGTTCTGTGTAATACAAAGATAAATCTCACTCCCCCATCATCCCTCACATCTATGGTCAGCTCAAGATGTGTCCTCCAGGGATTGGCCGCAATGTTCCCGATTCAGCAAAGGACGGACATCTCCATCCAATGACGGGACTACAATGGGGTCGGATTTATAGCTCCTTCTAGAAGTCCTATAATAGGGTCACTAATGTTATCCTAGTAAGGCTCACTGATCCACCAGTAGATGTTCCCCATGGATCAGATTTAACCCCTTCATTACACTCACCACTCCAGTCAGCAGGTGGAGGATCTCCAGGGCGAGGTTCAATATCATCTCATTCCGGGGAAAGTCCTTCCTTATGATCTTCACAAAAGTTGAAGTCTGCTGATTGTCCATCATGACGTCCTTGTAGAGGTCCTTGTGTCCTTCTAAATACTCCCACTCCTCCATGGAGAAATAGACAGTGACATCCTGACACCTTATAGGAACCTGACACACACAATGATACAGTCACCATCCAGACACATCCCTTGTCTGTTACTGGAGAATGTCCCAGAATTCCCGGCACCGCTCACCTCTCCTGTCAGCAGCTCCATCATCTTCTTGGTGACTTCTAGAATCTTCTGCATGTTGTGTCTCTCAGGGTTTAGGGAGTCACATGGAGGCACTGTGATGGTCATATGATCACCTGACTTCAGAAGAGGAATTGTCTGTATTGGGGAACCAATAGGAATATCATGTTAGACTCCCAGAATCCTCCTCACCTCTTCGGTCAGAGCTGTGTTTTATTAATAGAGATAAGAGCGATGTCATGTGACCTCCCAGAATCCTCCTCACCTCTCCGGTCAGGTCTGTATTTTATTAATAGAAATTAGTGTGATGTCATGTGACCTCCCAGAATCCTCCTCACCTCTCCAGTCAGGTCTGTGTTTTATTAATAAAGATGAGTGATGTCATGTGACCTCCCAGAATCCTCTCCTCACCTCTCCGGTCAGGTCTGTGTTTTATTAATAGAAATAAGAGTGATGTCATGTGACCTCCCAGAATCCTCCTCACCTCTCCGATCAGGTCTGTGTTTTATTAATAGAGATGAGTGTGATGTCATGTGACCTCCCAGAATCCTCCTCACCTCTCCGGTCAGGTCTGTGTTTTTATTAAGAGATGAGAGTGATGTCATGTGACCTCCCAGAATCCTCCTCACCTCTCCGTTCAGGTCTGTGTTTTATTAGTAGAGATGAGAGTGATGTCATGTGACCTCCCAGAATCCTCCTCACCTCTCCGGTCAGGTCTGTGTTTTTACCATTAGAGATCAGAGTGATGTCATGTGACCTCCCAGAATCCTCCTCACCTCTCCGGTCAGGTCTGTGTTTTATTAATAGAGATGAGTGTGATGTCATGTGACCTCCCAGAATCCTCCTCACCTCTCCGGTCAGGTCTGTGTTTTATTAATAAAGATGAGTGATGTCATGTGACCTCCCAGAATCCTCCTCACCTCTCCGGTCAGGTCTGTGTTTTATTAATAGAGATAAGAGTGATGTCATGTGACCTCCCAGAATCCTCCTCACCTCTCCGATCAGGTCTGTGTTTTATTAATAGAGATGAGTGTGATGTCATGTGACCTCCCAGAATCCTCCTCACCTCTCCGGTCAGGTCTGTGTTTTATTAGGAGATGAGAGTGATGTCATGTGACCTCCCAGAATCCTCCTCACCTCTCCGGTCAGGTCTGTGTTTTATTAATAGAGATGAGTGTGATGTCATGTGACCTCCCAGAATCCTCCCCACCCTCTCCGGTCAGGTCTGTGTTTTATTAAGAGATGAAAGTGATGTCATGTGACCTCCCAGAATCCTCCTCACCTCTCCGGTCAGGTCTGTGTTTTATTAATAAAGATGAGTGATGTCATGTGACCTCCCAGAATCCTCCTCACCTCTCCGGTCTGGTCTGTGTTTTATTACTAGAGATGAGCGTGATGTCATGTGACCTCCCAGAATCCTCCTCACCTCTCTGGTCAGGTCTGTATTTTATTAATAGAAATTAGTGTGATGTCATGTGACCTCCCAGAATCCTCCTCACCTCTCCAGTCAGGTCTGTGTTTTATTAATAAAGATGAGTGATGTCATGTGACCTCCCAGAATCCTCCTCACCTCTCCGGTCAGGTCTGTGTTTTATTAATAGAAATAAGAGTGATGTCATGTGACCTCCCAGAATCCTCCTCACCTCTCCGATCAGGTCTGTGTTTTATTAATAGAGATGAGTGTGATGTCATGTGACCTCCCAGAATCCTCCTCACCTCTCCGGTCAGGTCTGTGTTTTATTGAGAGATGAGAGAGTGATGTCATGTGACCTCCCAGAATCCTCCTCACCTCTCCGTTCAGGTCTGTGTTTTATTACTAGAGATGAGAGTGATGTCATGTGACCTCCCAGAATCCTCCTCACCTCTCCGGTCAGGTCTGTGTTTTACCATTAGAGATCAGAGTGATGTCATGTGACCTCCCAGAATCCTCCTCACCTCTCCGGTCAGGTCTGTGTTTTATTAATAGAGATGAGTGTGATGTCATGTGACCTCCCAGAATCCTCCTCACCTCTCCGGTCAGGTCTGTGTTTTATTAATAAAGATGAGTGATGTCATGTGACCTCCCAGAATCCTCCTCACCTCTCCGGTCAGGTCTGTGTTTTATTAATAGAGATAAGAGTGATGTCATGTGACCTCCCAGAATCCTCCTCACCTCTCCGATCAGGTCTGTGTTTTATTAATAGAGATGAGTGTGATGTCATGTGACCTCCCAGAATCCTCCTCACCTCTCCGGTCAGGTCTGTGTTTTATTAGGAGATGAGAGTGATGTCATGTGACCTCCCAGAATCCTCCTCACCTCTCCGGTCAGGTTTGTGTTTTATTAATAGAGATGAGTGTGATGTCATGTGACCTCCCAGAATCCTCCCCACCTCTCCGGTCAGGTCTGTGTTTTATTAAGAGATGAAAGTGATGTCATGTGACCTCCCAGAATCCTCCTCACCTCTCCGGTCAGGTCTGTGTTTTATTAATAAAGATGAGTGATGTCATGTGACCTCCCAGAATCCTCCTCACCTCTCCGGTCTGGTCTGTGTTTTTATTACTAGAGATGAGCGTGATGTCATGTGACCTCCCAGAATCCTCCTCACCTCTCTGGTCAGGTCTGTGTTTTTATTAATAGAGATGAGTGTCATGTCATGTGACCTCCCAGAATCCTCCTCACCTCTCTGGTCAGGTCTGTGTTTTATTAAGAGATGAGAGTGATGTCATGTGACCTCCCAGAATCCTCCCCACCTCTCCAGTCAGGTCTGTGTTTTATTACTAGAGATGAGAGTGATGTCATGTGACCTCCCAGAATCCTCCTCACCTCTCCGGTCAGGTCTGTTTTATTAATAGAGATCAGAGTGATGTTATGTGACCTCCCAGAATCCTCCTCACCTCTCTGGTCAGGTCTGTGTTTTATTAATAGAGATGAGTGTGATGTCATGTGACCTCCCAGAATCCTCCTCACCTCTCCAGTCAGGTCTGTGTTTTATTAAAAGAGATGAGAGTGATGTCATGTGACCTCCCAGAATCCTCCTCACCTCTCCGGTCAGGTCTGTGTCTTATTAATAGAGATGAGAGTGATGTCATGTGACCTCCCAGAATCCTCCTCACCTCTCCGGTCAGCAGGTAGATGATCTCCAGGGTGAAGTTTAGTATCCTCTCAGTCATGTGACTACGGTCCTCCTCCATCCTCATTCGTGTCATCATTTTATCTATTCAGGCTTACTTATAGAGAGATAATTTTGACAAACTGAAGTAAGAATTATTTGGAGTTTCTCGTAAATATAAATCAGATTTTATTACCTCCTCCGCTGCCACTTCCAGCAACATCTCCTCTCTAAGTCGTATGGTGTGGAATTTCTTGGCTCTATCTGTCTGTAGCTGACATCACTTCCTGTCTTCCATAGGGACTTCCTGTCTGGGTAGAAGTGAGATCACCTCTTGTGGAGCTCAGAGGAACTGCAGCCCCGAGAACCATCTGGTAGTGTGACCCCGGCCTTGTGCTGGGTGTGTATGGACTATATGTCACAGAGGGGTCACCTCCACTCCCACCAAGGGGGACAGAAATATACAGTATCTCCCAGAAGTGAGTCCCCCCTCCCCCGGACTGTATACAATCTATATATATATATATATATACATACACAGTATCTCCCAGAAGTGAGCCCCTCCTCCCCCGGACTGTATACAATGTATATATATATATATATATATCCAGTATCCCGCAGAAGTGAGTCCCCCCTCCCCCGGACTGTATACAATGTGTATATATATATACAGTATATATATATATATATACATTGTATACAGTCTGGGGGAGGGGTGAACTCACCTCTGGAAGATACTGTATATATATACATTGTATACAGTCCGGGGGAGGGGGGACTCACTCCTGGGAGATACTGTGTATATATATATGAATATATATATATATATATATTGTGTAATAAGGTAGTGTGACCCCGGCCTTGTGGTGGGTGTGTATGGACTGTATGTCCTCATAGAGGGGTCACCTCCACTCCCACGAGGGGGGACAGAAATAAACAGTATCTCCCAGAAGTGAGTTCACCCCTCCCCCGGACTGTATACAATGTATATATATATATATATATATATATATACATAGTATACATTCCGGGGGAGGGGTGAACTCACTTCTGGGAGATACTGCATATATATATATATATATATATATATATATATATATATATACACACACACATAAATATAGATATATACACACACAGTGAAGGAAATGCGTATTTGCTCCCCTGCTGATGTAGAATGTTTGCCACTCACAAAGAAATGATCGGTCTAAAAATCGAATGTTCGGTGTATTGTAACACTGAGAGACAGAATAGCAACAACAAATTCAGCAGAAATGCATTTCTAACAAATGATGACTGATTTGCATTGTGATGACTTTTGGACTATTTATTAAGCAAAATGATATTACCCCAAAAAAAATTATAAGCTGACTGTGATGGGTGAAAATAGTTGGTTCATTTCAGGTGACCTTCCAGGAAGCTACCATAAATAATGAGTGGAAGAGACCTGTTTGACACAATGGAGACCAACTGCAGTATTTGAGTTTTTTGCAGATGCTCAAACAAAGTACCTTAATTTGACAATGGTGGGACTAAAACCTTATTGACTCTGGTTCTCCCAACACCAGGGGTGGACTGACCATTTGGAAACTCAGACACTGCCCAAGGGCCCGGGGTCAGTAGGGGGCCCCATGAGATGCCCCTGGTACCTTTTTCATAGGTTTTTGAGTTTAGGCAAGGACACAGGGGCCCCATCATCCCCTATTGCCCGGGGGCCCCATGAGTTGTCAGTCCAGCCCTGCCTAAAACCTTGCAGATGTGTGATCACCAAACAAAACCTCTGAGTTATCACAATCAGCTATTGAATACTAGAAGGTTAAACTCCAGTCCAGTAAATAACAACTCTCCAGGAGGCTTAGAATGTCTGTTTATCCTAATTACCCAACAATGGATGGGGTTCTTCTACAAGACACATTTCCTTGAATGTAAAAACCAGCATAAGGAGAGACTTAGTTAATTTAAGATACAAAGAAAAGTGTGGCATACATCAACTGAGATATTATCAAAGGTATATACCCACACACCAAGATCTATTCTACAAAGTTGGGTACTGCATACCACTCAACTAAAGATCATGAAGTTATAAAATATAAGATGGTTTGTGAGTTGGGTAAAGTGCATATCTCCAAAGAAAATCAGCTATCCCAATACAGCTCATATCAGGAAGATGAGACACCAAATATATCACACATATTTCTATGGTCCTTATTCCAGAGTTAGTGGGGAAGTCATTTATACCTGAATAGGACCCGTATGTTATCCATAAAGACATACTGTTAATATCAAAGGGTGAGTCATCATTAACCGCCTCCCGCCTGCCATATAGTAATATGACGGGCGCAAGGCGGTTCTCTCGTTCTGGGAGGACGTCATATGACGTCCTCCTATTCTCACCGCGCATGCGCGGCTCTGAGCGCTCAGTGCGGTGATCAGCGGTGCGCTGTGTCCCTCGGATCACCAATCACGGAAAGAGCCGAAGATGTCAGCTCGGTCATGTGATCAGCTGTGTCCAAACACAGCTGATCACATGTAAACAGGGAAATGCCGGTTATTGGCATTTTTCTCCTCTCGAGCTGTCACGCTGACAGGAGAGGAGAGCCGGTAATCAGCTTTCCGCGGAGGGGACATGTACACTGATCATCAGGGCACTGATGATCGGTGTGCCCTGATGATCAGTGTAGCCCCAGCAGTGCCACTTGTCAGTGTCCATCAATGCCTTGTGTCAGTGCCCATCAGTGCCACATCAATGGCACATATCATTGCCTACCAGTGCACATAAATACCATATATCAGTGCCCATCTAAGCTGCCTTTCAGTGTCACCCATCAGTGTATGTCAGTGCCACCTATCAATGCCAATCAGTGCCACCTATCAGTGCCGCCTGTCAGTGCCACCTATCAGTGCCGCCTATCAGTGCCAGTCAGTGCCGCCTATCAGTGCCAGTCAGTGCCACCTATCAGTGCCGCCTAACAGTGCCAGTCAGTGCCACCTATCAGTGCCATGTATCAGTGCTGCCTTTCAGTGCCCATCAGTGATGCCTGTCAATGCCCATCAGTGCCACCTACCAGTGCCTCCTTATCAGTGCCACCTATCAGTATCTATCAGTGCCACCTATCAGTACCGCCTATCAGTGCCATATATTATTATTATATAGTATTTATAAAGCGCCAATAGTTCGCTCAGCGCTGTACATTACAAAGGGGGACAGAACATGTGACAGAACAATACCAATACAATGCAAAACATGGGGGATTGAGGGCCCTGCTCTTTCGAGCTTACAATCTAGGAGTGCTGCCTTTCAGTGCCCATCAGTGATGCCTGTCAATGCCCATCAGTGCCACCAACCAGTGCCTCCTCATCAGTGTCTATCAGTGCAGCCTATCAGTGCCCATCACTGCAGCCTCATTAACGCACATCAGTGAAAGAGAAAAATCACTTATGTAAAAAATTTTATAACAAAAACTAAGAAAAAACTTTTTTTCAAAATTTTCAGTGGTTTTTGGTTTGTTTAAGAAAAAATAAAAAACCCAGAGGTGATTAAATACCACCAAAATAAAGCACTATCTGTCAAAAAAAAAATGATACAAATTTCATATGGGTACAGTGTTGCATGACCGTGCAATTGCCATTCAAAAGTGCGACAGCGCTGAAAGCTGGAAATTGGCCTGGGCAGGAAGGGGGTAGAAGTGTCCTGTAGGCAGGAAGGGGGTAGAAGTACCCGGTAGGCAGGAAGGGGGTAGAAGTGCCGGTAGGCAGGAAGGGGGTGGAAGTGCCCGGTAGGCAGGAAGGGGGTAGAAGTGTCCGGTAGGCAGGAAGGAGGTAGAAGTGCCCTGTAGGCAGGAAGGGGGTAGAAGTGCCCGGTAGGCAGGAAGGGAGTATAAGTGCCCGATAGGCAGGAAGGGGGTAGAAGTGCCCAGTAGGCAGGAAGGGGGTGGAAGTGTCTGGTAGGCAGGAAGGGGGTGGAAGTGTTCAATAGGCAGGAAGGGGGTAGAAGTGCCCGGTAGGCAGGAAGGGGGTCGAAGTGCCGGTAGGCAGGAAGGGAGTATAAGTGCCCGATAGGCAGGAAGGGGGTAGAAGTGCCCTGTAGGCAGGAAAGGGGTAGAAGTGCCCTGTAGGCAGGAAGGGGGTATAAGTGCCCTGTAGGCAGGAAGGGGGTAGAAGTGCCCGGTAGGCAGGAAGGGGGTAGAAGTGCCCTGTAGACAGGAAGGGGGTATAAGTGCCCTGTAGGCAGGAAGGGGGTAGAAGTGCCTGATAGGCAGGAAGGGGGTGGGAGTGCCCGGTGGGCAGGAAGGGGGTAGAAATGTCCTGTAGGCAGGAAGGGGGTGACAGTGCCCTGTAGGCAAGAAGGGGGTAGAAGTGCCCTGTAGGCAGGAAGGGGGTAGAAGTGCCCTGTAGGCAGGAAGGGGGTGACAGTGCCCTGTAGGCAGGAAGGGGGTAGAAGTGCCCTGCAGGCAAGGGGTTAAGATCACCAGTTCATTTGTGATACATGACTGTTCCCCGGTGGACAGGTAAAGAACTTCTAAGTTACACAAACTTCTTAGCCGTCCAATCAACAAGCCCGTTGAGAGGTCCTTCGAAACAAAGGACTTGTATGGTAGAAAAATACCACACACCACAAACTGAAAGATCACTTCTAAAATCACTTCTGAGATCACTAAATGACTTCTTACTATTTCTGAAACAACTTCTTAACTACTCTACTACTACTATATACTGCACTATACTCCTGCTTCCTGCGGCCATCTTACTGAGAACTTCCAGATGCCATTTTGAAGGGAAAGATTTTCGCCAGAGACGTGGATGCTGATTTAAATTCTGGTGCCTGACTGACCAGAAACATTTTCTTTTCCCAACTGCATCCCACTGGGAGGCCTCAAAAATCAAGATTCTGGGAGTGGTGAGACTGTGCCAAAATATTGTAATTTTCTGTTATATTTAAAATTTATTAAGATTTATAACATTTTATTGTGTGGTTAGGAGTGCACTAATGTTATCTGAATAGTTATTAATGTAACTGTTTGAGTATTGGTATTGAGATCATATACTGCATAGTAACTGATTTGTAGTATTTTTGTGGTGCTAATTATCAGAGATACTTTATTTCCCTACGGCTGCGGGAAATTGGAAATAATATCTGAAACACTATATGTTGCAACTGAAAGAATTGATTTTCTTTATCCCCTCAGAGACCCCCGGACTGCGGAGAGTTTCCTGGTTTATCAGCAGAATTCTGGGAACACCCGTTGAACACGGAAATAACGGCAGCTTATCCTTTGATAGAAACAAAATGTCTTTGTGGATCAAATATATGTCCTATTCAAGTATAGTTGATTTCACTACTAACTCTTGGATAAGGACCATAGAAAGATGTAAATACATTTGGTTTCTCATTTTCCTGATATTTTAAACTGTATTGGAATAGCTGATTTCTTTTGGAAATATACAATTTACCCAAATTCACACATCATCTTCTTCTTCATCACTTCAACTCAGTTGTGGGATGCAATACCCAACCTTATCAAATATATTCTCCCTTGATAAAAAAGTGTTCGTAATATGCCTTTTGATAATGTCGCCATTGGCAGGTATCAAACTTTATATTTTCAATGACCCAGCTCTCGCCTTCTTGTTTAACGCAAGGTTCACATGACAGGAAAAAAAAACCTTTATTTACCTGCCCTATTGTGTAGGAATTAGGGTAAACAGACTGGACTGGAGTTAAACCTCAGTATTCAATAGCATATTGTCACATTTCAAGAATTCTTGTTTGGTAATCCACACTTTCTAAGGTTTTGTGAGAGCTCTCAGACAATCAGGTTTGGTTACCCTATTGTCACTTCCAGACCTCCTATATGCTCAGCTGTAGATATTCAAATAGTGGTATCTATCTCATTGTCTTTTAAACAAGTTTCTTTTTGGAAGGTCACTTGAAATTAACCTAGAATGTTAACCCATGACAGTCAGCTTAGAATCCCCTATTTGGGATAATATAATTTTTCTTAATAAACAGTCCCAAAAGTCATTACATATCCCCCTTTTTTGAGATACGGACACGTATAGATAGGTGTAAGTATCACAAATCGTGAGTGTGACTTTTGATTAAAGTGACTGTTGGTCTTCTCCGGTGACATCAAAGTTCTCAACTGATAAGTTAGCGTTCTTAAGAGTCATTTAGATGGTGTGAGTGGGTAATGGATAATTTTTCCGATGGTATTTTTGGAATTAAGCAGTCTTTTGATGATGAAATGGCAGCGGGCAATGCTGAGTTTATCTGTGAATTTGATTCGGGCGCTTCTCGGACGAACACTCCTGATGACGGTCCTGGTTTTGCGATGAGGCTGGCCTGACCTGGCGGGCACACCCACATCAGGGTCCATAGGATCTTTCGCACGACGGGTCTTTGGGTCTCGTAGGCGGGTTTCTTCCTCTGGACGGCCCTTAGTGGTCTGGGACATCAGGTTGTCATCTCCGGATCGATCGCTGGCAATCTGGTCTTTCCCACAGGACATCAGGTAGCTACCTGAGCTTCCTTCTAGGGTCTGGTCATTGACACCTCCGATCGCCAGTCTGGTCATCGTCTGGGCCTTCATTACTAAATCATGGAAAACGAACAGTTTAAGTACTGGATACACAGAATATTTTATGACTTGACCCTGTAAAGCAAAAGGTGAATGAAAATTTAGAGGAAATTCCATAATGATTTCAATATCTCCAGGTAGGAACTGGTGGGTTAGTCTTCTAACAACTGCAATTGAGACTTTGGATGGCAAGCACGTAATTGATTGATGTGCACCCATCTCTCACTGATTTCACCATTCCGGGGAATATGTAATTTATATACGCCACAGGGGAAATCTTGTCAACAATGGAAAACGGACCTTTCCAAGACGGAAGGAATTTCCGTTCCTTGACTTGGTCTCTTGCAAAGTTGTATAGATAGACCTTGTCACCAATCTCATATTCCTTCTTGGAGGTTTTGAGATCATAGTATGTCTTAGCACTAGTTGCAGCTCTTTCCAAATTTCGCTGGGCAAAGGCAAAAGCATATTGCAAATGTTTACGTAATCCTCTATGTATTGGTGTGTGGTGGGGGCATTGATCAAATTTTGATCTGTAGTGCGATACAATAAGTGTTGGGGCAGTACCATCCGTCTACCTGTCATCAGTTCAAAGGATGACATTTTTGTGACTGTATTTGGAGTAGCCCTCAAAGCCATCAGGACCAGTGGAAGTTTTATATCCCAGTCCTTGCCTGTTTCCTTAACAAATTTCTTAAGGACGTTAACGATGGTCTGATTGTATCGTTTCTACACCACCACTAGAGGCTGGCCGATAGGCGATATGCAATTTCCTTTTAACACCCAAAATTTTCCACAATTTGGCCATCACTTCGCTAGTGAAGTGCGATCCTCTGTCAGACTCTATCCTCTGTGGGAGACCAAAACGTGAAAAGACATGATTTATTAATAAAGCAGCACATGTCTCGGAGCTGTTATTTGGTGCTGGAATACATTCGACATACTTCGTAAATAAACATGTAACTGTTAACATATATCGATTTCCTCGTGAAGATTTTGTTACGGGCCCAATAAAATCCATTTGAAGGTCTGACCAAGGCATACATATCCCCCTTTTCTGGAGAGGTGCTCTATGAGTTGGTTTAGTAGGTTGAAACTGGGGACATATTAGGCAACCTTGGCAGTACGCCTTCACATCCTGTAACATATGAGGCCAGTAAGCATAATCCTGCAGGATCTCATATGTGATTTTCTCTCTGCGATGCCCCGAAGTAGGAGCATCATGGGCATGCTGTAACATTAGACCTCTAAATTTAAGTGGGACGACCCATTGTTGGATACCACCCTTTGAGGTTCGTATCAACAATCCCTGGTACAACGCGAATTGGGATTTGGATTTCATTAAAATACGTAAATCCTCTTTCCCAGTACATATTTCCTGATTAATGGGATTTTGGTTGGGATCTTCTATATGTCTATAAAATAATCCAATTATTGGGTCTTGTTTTTGGGCAGTAATTAAATCCTCACTAGGTGAATCGTGACTCCACTGTAACACATTAGGATCACCAGTTGTTCTGGCCTGTTGCCTGGTGATAGCTTCAATCTGTACTGTACCTAAGAGATGATCTATGTCTAGTAAGTCACTGGTGATTGCGCCTTCCTTGGCTAGAGAATCAGCCAAATCGTTCCCTTCTTTTTCGGCACCTAGGACCTTGGAGTGACCTTTGGTCTTTTTGAAATAAAGGGTTAATTCATTGGACCTCACTAGCTCATCGATATGACAAAAGAGCTTACCATGTTTTACAGGCTTATTATTGCTTTTTGTCATGTTGTTTCGTTTCCACCTGGGGAAATATTCCACAAAACTATTCCTGACATAATTGGAATCAGTTATGATGGCACATTCTTTTATGTTGAACTCTATAGCCATCTCAACTGCTCTTATTGCAGATTGCAGCTTTTTGAGTTCAGCAACCTGGGTCCAAAAAATAGCCACTAGTTGGAACCATCTACTACAT